CATTTGCATCCGAATGTATAAGTTCTCTTTTAGAGGCACAAGGCACGATAAAGTGGTACTTGCTCAAAAATAGTAGCAGGGGTGTTACATAGTAGGTAAATGACGAAAAAGCGAAGTTATACGGTCAAAAACCTGCAAAAACCTTTCTTGTGCACGGCACTGGACGAGCATTTTTGGGCGAGTTTCTCGTTGGAATCGTGCCAGCAATAGCTTTGGTAGATGCGGCTGCACGAATGTATTCATATGTCCATGTAACAACGCTTCATATCAATTTAATTGTACTTCATAAATGAAGCTATAAGAGTACCAGCGTCGATGTGACTGTCCGGCCATTTGTGGGCGGGCGGTTGCGGTGGGCGTTTGGGTCGGCATGTTGCACCTTGCAAAGACGCTATGACGGTGCCCTTAGTTGGGAAATGACACGCAGCGCCTGCTAAGGGGCGCAATATCCTTTCGTTTGGGCGTGTTATAGACCCTGTACGCCTTGTCAATTTATCGTGCCACTTGCCTTTGAAGGAATCACGATTACATTCCCTTGGGATTCCATCAGCAGTGGACCGGTCCCTTCCTCGTGCAGCTTGACTCGGTGACACATAAAAGTACTGTGCATCATGGTAACATAAGGGTAATGGCATTCAAATATGAAACAGTGGGAGCGAAGTAGCTCGCCTGTGAAGAAAGAGCTGAAAAACGGTCTGAAATTCCTGAATAAGACCTCCTTCATTTCGAAAACTGTGCAAATTCGCCAGCAATCGGACAAGTTGCTCGGACAGCTGCCTTTAGATAACCAGTTGCTCAAGGTGCTCATAGATGTCTGTACTTCTGAAATAACAAATAATTGTGGGACAGCTGACGCTTTGATAGTGAAATATTATGGTCACCTACCACACCAGTAGCCTCGCGCCAGCTGCAGTGACATAGTCGTTATCACTGAAGCCAGTCGGGGCGTGTCGGCGAGAATAGGTTTGGCCCGGCGCCGGCTCATTTCCCATTGATCGTTGATTCGGGAGTTTACTCGGGAGTTAAGTGAGTGCTGTGAAAGAGGCTGGCTCTGCGCCAGAACCAACGTTCCGCACACTCTCCCCGACTAACTTCAGTGAGAACGACTGTACCAAGGCACTGTTGACTTCGGCGTGTCGGCTGCATTGAGCAGGGAAAGCTGGCGCTGCGCCAAACCCATGCCTTGCTCAGACTGATGCCAATGATAACCACTCCACGTCATTGTAGCTTGCATGTGGCTACTAAAAGCGCGACTCTAAAATGCTTGGACCCTAGCCCTTGTCCGAAGTGAGTGGTGTCGATTCGCCTGCGACAACCTTGCAGGTCATTCGTCTCAGATGAATCGAATTCATTTGTCATCCTATCATTAAAAAAACCATTGGAGAACCAAATGGCAAAGTAAAGAGCAAGCAGTCTCACTGAAGAGCGCTCGTTATCGACTCCTTCGCGTGGAATTTCTACAACAGGGGCTGAGCGCTGTGCATTTCCACCAAGGTTGAATAAGGTTAGACAACGGTGGCTTATTGAGCGATGTGACCCTAATTAGTTTCAGGGGCCACCCGATGTATGAGTCACTGTCCTTGTCCTCCCAGAGGAACCTGGTACCAAGTTACCGCACGCTGACTTTAACCCGCCGGTGGAGGGTAGAAAGGCTGTTAGGCCTGCGAAACCACACGGTCTAACCGCGACCGTGCGGTTTTTGAAGGATGGCAGGGAAAATGGGGACTTTGTGAGAGCAGACTCCCCCGTAGCTGTGTTTACTAAGCTCAATTCCCAATCTCTCGGTGGCGAAAAAGCCACCCCAAACAGGGCACGTCGAAAACCCAGCGGGCAGGAGCTTGTTCTCGGGAGTAACAAGCTAGTATTTCCCTCTGAGTGACGTTCCCCACACTCCTCTCGATGGTAAAATCTTGTTGGAGAAACTGGAAAATTTTAAGGAAATTTTGGAAAACGCGGTAGGAAGCTTTGAGAAGTTGACAAGATTGTAAGTGGGACGAGGACGGTGGAGGGTCGTATTTTCCGAACATTTTCCTCAGCGGCAGGGGGCGTCTTGACCCCAAACACGGTAATCTGGTAATAATACGCAGTGTTAATTGCAGCACTGTCGAGGTATGGGTAAAGGGCTGGATCTTGGTTCAGGCTAGGATCTGGACCTCTCACTTTCCGGTCTAGTGCGCAAATCATTACAAAACCAGTACAGCCTTCCTCCTCTCAAGTCATAGAAAGAGTTCTGAAGAGCCGGGTACAGTACCAGTGCCCACGCCAGGGAAGGGTTGGGTCAATGGCCTATGTCTTTTCTTAGCTGATGGAGAGATTTCTTCTAGTTCCGGCTCAAATGAGTGGTCCGTTTGCGCATTATTGAAACCGGTCCGTGATAGTTTTCTGTGTGGCAATTCTGCTGGTGAGGAGCGTTGGAATGGGGCAAAACTGTAGTTGGTGAAACCAGTTTCACCCAGTGATACTCTACCACTTTCTTAGTCGCGCTCAATGCTTGAAAGGTTCCGTAATTGACTGCTAAGGTAAAAACCGCGCCCAAAACCAAAGCAGGAACGCGTCCTTTCTAAACGATTTCTTTTCCGCTATCAAGAGGTTTCTTTGCTGTCTTGTTATGAAAGGAACCTGCGGCGGTATTGTTCTGGGAATAGCTGGCCCTTTAACACTGAGGTTTTGAAGGACCTTGTTTCATACTGTAGTTTTATCTTTTAGAATCTCTGCGTGTACGACGAGAATCAAGAGGAACAGAAAGTCTTTTGACAGTGGAATGGGAGGGAATCCAGACAGGTATCAACTTTGTGGACTTTGTGGACAATTTCAGCACTCCTGGACTGCGTTCACACTTTGCGGCAGCGTTTACCAGCGTCCACCAGCGACCACCAAGCGTCCGGCAGCGTCAGCGACTAGGAAAGTGTAGATATCGATCTAGCGTCTGCCAGCGTCCACCAGCGTTCACCAGCGACCGGGAGTAGAGAGTATGGGAAGTAGGAGGGTAGCAAACAGCTGGATTAGGCGTCGTGAAATTGTGGCGTGTGCAACTGCACCGTACATTAAATTGCACCGTACATCAAAATAGCATAATTCTGTTCTTTAGCAGTTGTACGGTGCACTTGCACACGCTGCAATTTTCACGACGCCTAATCCAGCTGTTTGCTACCCTCCTACTTCCCCATACTCTCTACTCCCGGTCGCTGGTGAACGCTGGTGGACGCTGGTAGACGCTGGCAGACGCTAGATGGATACCTATACCTACACTTCCCTAGCCCTCGATACCCTAATGGACGCAGACGCCAGATCTATACCTTCCTAGTCGTTGTCGGAACGCTAGTGGTCGCTGGTGGCTGCTGCAAAGTATGAACGCAGCATTACGATTGCTTCAGGGGACCATCCTGACACGGATGTGAAAGGCTTCCTCGTCGAATATCGTGCTGAAAAGGACAAACACTGGATGGTACACTCTGGGATAATCCCCTACAAAGGACCAAATCACCAGTATCGAGTGCAGGTGGGTGCTCTCTGGTCGCCCTGCGGTCCGACCCTGGAGTCCTGCAAGAGAAACGAAGTCACTGTTCCGACTTCTCTACTTTCCATGATACCAAAAAACTCCGACCGCGAGTGGCTTATTTGTCTCGTATCAAAGTGCCTCGGCAGCTCACAACGAATTCTAGTGGAAGACGGCGGAGCATCCGAGCCGCGAAAATGAGATTGTTTCATCAAATGCGATAAATGGTAAGTTACCAGTCTGCAGCATTTCACTCTTTCGAGGGAAATTTTGAAGGGTTTAATGCGTCTTTGTCCACACAACGTTCTAGGTGCGAATCGAAAGTCGAGTTAGTGCACTGTTCGAGCACTTGGCGTTGTGTTGATTTTCTCCGATTTTCCCCTCGTTTGAGAGCTTAACAAACAACGCTGCCATAGCATTGTTCCAGAGAAGAAACTACAGCGAAAATCAATGCGAAATACAGTGTACTCACAGATTACTACCCGAGAGCTTAGAGTGGTCCCCGAAAGTTGACGAGTACGATGGGTTTGCGAGCAGAAAAAACTACACAAAAACTCCAAAGTTCAAGAAGTAAAGTGAAAAACTGGAAGCAAAGACGAAAGTGGGGGAGTAATCGGAAGAGCCTACGGTCAACCCAGTTATCCTTCTGTGCCGTTCAAAAGGTTATATTGTAGATCAAAGCCCCTTAGCACTCCAACTGGCACCTCTGGTGCAGTCGAATGCGTCTTGGCTTGCTCACTTATTCCTCTTTTATCCTTCGCTAACTCTCGAATATGCTTTTACCCTTCTGAACCAGATTATTTTGAATGATTACTCGAAGCTAGCGCTCATTTTCTACCGCGGCTACTTTCCTCCTGAATCTCCTCGGGTCAAAAAACGTGTTCAGCACTCAGTAGAAACAAAAATTTCTTTGACATACGACCCCTGATGGAGCGCTTGTAACAATAAATAGAACGGGACGGGAAAAATGAGTGGTCGAGAAAAATTTACAAGCCCACAACCCCGTGCCCCCTCCCCACTCATCAGCTATCCCGTTGATGGGATTCTCCTAACAATACTGTACCGTGCTCACCCTCACCGTAACACAGTTCTAGAGACCACCTTCATGTTTCGATTGACTGCGGCGATATCAGTTGTACATAAGTGTACCCGAGGTGGGACCTTTCTAGGCCTGAACAGTTGCCATTACATCACTTATAATCTCTG